AACGCATTACGTTATAGTTTATCAACACGGGAAACGTGCTTAACCTACTTTCAATTTATTTGTCAGATTTGTTTATGCCTAATACCTGGCTACATTTCACGTGCAAAAATATAGGTAAGTGTAAAATGCAAATTTAATTCTGAACTTAGTAAAAAGTATCCTTGCAATATGAAAGAGATATAGATTGCAAAAGTAGAGAGGTAACCTACTAAAGTTGTATTTGAACAATTACATCAAATTACAGATTTATGAAATATAGAAATAAACTTATATTGTATGTACAAGTAGATATAAGTAATTTTGTCATCGTACGGAAACTCGCAGTTTAAACTAACTATAAAATTGTTTGCAGATGCTTGATGTCATTGATGTCATTAAGAGGTAGAAAAGCAGTGGAATACTTCATGCACTTCCAAGTAAGTTAGAAAAGCATTAGCGAAGCTACTTAATCTTGTACAAATCATATTAAAGTACACATTAAAGAAATATAAATATATTTTGTCATTGTGTAAGGGTTGGAATCTGTCTTGGGACAAACGCAAAAAGAGAAGCCATAAGATGTCAAAGCGCTTAATCGAAACGAAACAGAGCATCAAGAACCTCGTCGTAGAGCGAGAAGCGGTGGCAGTCGAGCTGCATCATCTACGACCGGAATTTCCGAAGATGGCAGTTCAGGCCAACACGCTGATTATTATACAGAAGAAAGTTTCATTTTCAAGTTACAAATTTGATTTTGGACGTTTCAGAACTTTTATAATTTAATAACAGAAAGAGATAGTAGCAATAACTTGAAATATATGTGTAACGCTGATTGACTATCGTGTTGTGAGGGCGTAATTTTCTTAACGTTGCCGCGCTATGAAAGGTTTAATTTACTGCATGATTTAATTTATCCGTATGATATTGCAGACCGAGGATTGCGAAAGTAAGAAAAGTTTATAAGAATTACATTTGTAATTTATAGGACGTAAACATAGAAGAGGATACAGAGAGTAGTTCTGATTACATGAGTGAAACGAGTAACGATGAACACAGTGGGTGGTGGTAGCCAATCTGGAGCCAGTATGAAACCAGGCGATGATCTTGCTACAGATAGCACATTAAAACGGATTCTAGAGCAGGATTATGACCTAATGAGTATTAAGAACAAGGTAAGCTAGTAATTAAATTTTAGTTAATATACATATATATTACAGATAAGCTATAAAGCGTTTGTGCCGGATACATTTTTCAACAACTAAAAACTATTCCTGCTGTTTGCATTTTATTTATTTTTCATATTTAAATTAAAATTATACAAGGATTGTAATTTATGTTAAAAACTAATCTTTCACTGAAAACAAATATCATACAAATATATCACTGATATTTATTTCAGCTTATACTTCCGGCGCAACCTACTGTGATAAATATTCCAGAATCTCTGGCCCAGCATTTCACTACGACGCAGTTTACGAATATCCCAGAGAAACCTTAATTCTCATATCGCAGTTTACGAATGTCTCAGAGAAACTCTCTGATTGTGTCGATTAATTATCGAACGGAAAAAGGAAAATACAATAGCAATGTTTTTTTTACGTATCAGGATAAGCTGTGATTATATAAAAAAAGAAAGAAAAAAATAACGGAAAACAGAACCGAGCAGGAACAGGACGCAACTGTATTTCTAGACAGTCTGATTTTGTAAATTATTCTACGAGGAAAACACTTGTGTATTATATATATATGTATATGCGGATATGCGATATATAATTTGATATGATATATGATCTATGACGTTTGTTTATTACTATGTAAAGTGACAGACTTCGAAATTAAACATTAATTACTGTTAATCGTGGCGTTTTGAATTTACTCTTTCTTTTCTTTTACCTAAAGAGGATCATGAGAAAGTGAGAAAATTCCAAACGCTGCGAGAGTGCAGACACAATGGACATCCGAATTTTACAAAACGTGAAAAAACATTCGTCTTTTCTCATCTCTAAACTCCTCAGACCGTGTTAATATTTAAACAAAATAATTTACACGTCACTCATAGAGCTAGCGCGATAAAAAAATAAGTTAACATTCGTTGAAACAACATTATACATTTATGCCTAACAACAATTTTTTGTGCTTGCACTCGCGAATCTCTTGCCGACGTGATACTCGATTTTCTCACACAGAATTTCTTGCTATAAGACACAAAGGGGAGTTTACTTCTTGCGGAAAATACTCGACATGCTGGGCGATTCAATTTTCTGTTGAAGAGATCTTGTTCATCTTCTGGCGCATATCCTTGGCAGACATTCACCGTCGTCATCGATAGGGAAAACCCGGAGCTCGTCGAGTGTCCTGGAATGAAGATAATTTTTTTACAAACGTTTAAACATTTTTCGTTATCGAGAAAATGTGTACAGGATACATAATGTTTCTAGAAAAGTATTCAATGGTCCAAAGATATCGAAATTCAGAAATATTCTACCAAATCTACTATGGATTATTGCGACTGTAGATTACAATTATATAATCACAGTAATTTCAAATCCAGGTCGCTGCCTGGTCTGCCGAGATCAGGAGATCTTTTTTTCGGCAATTAAAAATTCCAAGAAAATTAGCGTGTCGCTATAATAATGAGGGATGTTCGAAAGATTGCACCGCGTGATAAATTACAGTAATAAAATATAAAATTTCTTATATTTCTTTACCTCTGTATGTCTTATAGTTATTAATTCGTCAATTATTATAAACTGAAGAAAATAAGCTGAAGATATATAATTAGTAATCCTTAAGATATATGTAGTAATCCTTAAGTCCTAAGAAATTAATCAATCATAGTTAATTATTTTCCTCACATTCGATTGTGATTGATCAATTTCTCACAGCAGATCTTAATGGAACACTTAATAAAGTTGTAGGGTAGTATTTCATTGTCGGATCTTTTATATTTAAGGCCGGCTGGAGTAATCTTAAGAGAGAGAGAGATGTTATAAACTAATCACTCGATTGTTAGATATAACAGAGCCGTATATATTATCAACCTTAAGCCATTGTCTTGAAATAAGAACCGACTATGTATACTAGCCTTAATTTTACTCATTAATTGTTCGTTGCTTAGCAAGAAAGATTTTACAGAAAAATATATTGCTCTTTTTCTTACCTATATAACAGGAGATGAGGTAATATGCGAAATCGAAATATATACGCAAGCCGTCCGCGACTTCTCTGCATATATTTACTTCGTTTACTGTCTTCTCTATGGTATACGGTATTATTCACTTTACTCCGTTGAGGTTTCTGTTCGTAATATTCTCGGTTCGGAATATTCGTAAACTGCGTCGTAGTACAATGCTATGCTAATCTGACAAATAAATTGAAAATAGGTTAAGCACGTTTCCCGTGTTGATAAACTATAACGTAATGCGTT